TTTTGCTACTAGTTTCACCAATTAATAGGCCCTTGGCTTTGGAGAAAAAAGGCACAAGAACCATCAAGAAAGAAATGAACGTTTCTAGGAGGTAAGTGACCTGGGTTCATAATCTGAAAGCAGGAAGCAATTCCATTCTTTACAGATGAGTTTTAGGGACTCTGATAAGGAGCTGTCTTTAGAAATACAGAATTGTTGCAAGCTTTGCCATGACATTTGCTGGAAGATTAGACTGTGGAAGAATAGGCTGTGAATCATGGAGATTTGAGAACATAGAAGCAGAAGGAATTGAGGGTGTTGGGTGGATTACCAGATTCTTCTGTTTGTGTAAATTGTAGCTAATAACAATTCCTGGAAGGCCAGAATTTGATGGAAACAGGAAAACAGAGTTAAAGATTTTTTATACTTTCATTTTTTCTGAGCCTGCTGTTTTAAGTGGAAATTCTATTACATTTATTTGCATGCAATTTTAAAACCAAATGTCTATTGTAGCTGATGTAAAATTTTCACATTGTTAATGTGGTGTGCCCATATCCATTTAAACAGTTGAGGAAAGGAGTGGATTTCTAGCAGATCTGGTTTTCAGATGATCTTACTCAGAAAGAGGATGTACTGTACAAAGAAATTAAAAGATGTGGTATAGAGATAAGGATATTTAGGACTGCAGCACATGCCATTCTCCTCCAGTCCAGAATTGGTCCTGCTGCATGCCATTATTATTTTTAAAAAAAATTATAAAATCAATTGAATATTATTGCAGTACAAGAGTTATATCATGATTCTATCACTTAACTCGGGGTTTTCTTGGCAGTAAGACAGAACTAGCTTACCTTCTTTCAAGTTACATATTTAGTTTCTCAGTACTGTATAATGTATCTGGTGAATTCCTATCTATGCACTAACTAGGGCTTCATTATTAGGATGGCCAACTTGGATAGATGGTGCTATTACTATGATAAAACCAATACAAGTCCATTATAAACAGCTATTCAAATTCTATTTCCAAGATAAGCAGAACTACTCTTCGACCACTGCTCAAAGTACATTAATCACCTAAATTCAAAGTGAAATGAATGAAACATATTCATAAGATTTTTTTTCTTTTTTTGATTTCAATGGGACTTACGCTTCCAAGTTCCTTGGCTTAATGGAGAAAGTAAGTTCACACATGTATTTAATGAGACAACAGATATATTTAACAAGATATAATGCATTTGGAGATATTTGTTTTTGTTGCTTTCTCTCCCTTTTTTCTCTGTTTGTTAAATTAAAAAAACACACACAAATAGAGCAGGATTCAAGTTTTACTGAATTCAGTGGGATTTATTTCCAGTCAAATTTCCATGTTTAGAATTGAGCTGCATGTATCCAGTCTGCCCATCAATTTTGTCAACAATTTGAAATTCAAATTAAATGCTGATCAGAGAATGAACAGTTGATTTTCCTGTACAGCAACAATACCTGTATTAAAAAAACACCATAGTGCATATAGGCACCAAATATCTGACAAAGACTTTGTGTTTTAAGATTGAAGATTTCCTGGTTGTTTTTGTGGATGTGTTTTCCAGGCAATCCTGACTCCTGTTTACTCTAGGGACTAATCCTAATCCTGTTCATTTTGATGTTCATCAAGCATCCTTTAGGAGAGATGACAGGGAAGGAAATTGCTAATGCTCAGTGTTTTTATTTTGGCAGGATTCACTGTCTTCGTGCTCATCGGCCTAAACCATCAGCATACCCTGGAAAGAATTGGCACAATTCTTTTAACTGCAAACACTGGTGTGAAAATGAGCAAACAACAGTCCGCATGCTCTACATGCTGATTGTCATGGTTATTCTTATTGCAGTCTGGGGAGTATGGACAAGGAAAGATAACTGAGCTTAATCTTGTTTTCTTTTTTCTCTTGAGACTCAAAAACTCAAGACCCTGTTGAAGACAATAACAAAGGTAGTATTTTTAAGTGGCAATTTTTTTTTCAAATCAGGAATGAAATTACTAATGGGTTTATACTATTGTCTCAACTTTCTTAAATGTAAGAAAAAAATAATGTAAAAGATTGTTTTGATATAAGTAATACTAATGTGTACAGCACTCTAAAACTAACTATTAAATAGCTATATTCAAAACAGTTTTGTCAATAATGTTGCTGATCTGGAGATGTCTTTCAACATCCTCAATGGTCTTAAATCACATTTCAGGCACCAAAGTATGGACACGATCATTAGGAAAGAATTGAGGTGGTAAGTTGACTATGCAGGTGGTAGATCCAATTCAATATTCAATAAAATGCATCCTGTACAGGCTTTACTGATTATAACTCTCATTATACTCTGGGATTTAACTCTGAATTAATTAGACTATGCCCTCTAAGGTTAAATTCAGTTATTCAAAAAATGGGTAATTAAAAATAATGCTATGATCTTTCTCCATACTATTTAATGTCAATAGAAAACTACATAACTGGAATTTGAACCCCTGTATAGCGGTTTATGTTATTTCATTTATAGCTAAGTGTGTAGCACGATTTTTACCTCAGAAAACTGAGATCCAGTAATGCTAATCTTTAACTCATGCAGTTATTGGCCATCATGGCAAATGGCCATCCTGATTTAAAAAAACAAAGATAGTACTGTAGTACATATTATCTGGAGGACATTAGGAAGCAGAAAGAAGCTACAGTGACATTTTTGGGTTTCTTCAACTAATATGGGAAAGGACTCCAGGAGTCCTGCCATTTACCTAACCATTGGCATTTAGAAAATTCTTGTCCTCTCCCTTTTATCTTAACATGAATGTAACACTTGCCTATAAAACTGAGGGAATGGAAAGGTCAATTAATTAGCATTAGAAAAATTGTTTGAGTTCCTATGGTAAAGGTTATGTTTAAGTATGTGATTACTGTAGTATTGTTTCTTTTCTAGAGGATTACCATTTATTGCCCAAGATTTATTCAGAGGTCAATAACACATGACACCAGACTTCCTAAATTCCACGACCTACTGAAGATAAAATTATGAATCTCATTATCCAGTTAATATGGTCAATATGCAGGCTGACTAAGGATCCTGAGAATTGTAGTACAAGATATCTAGAACATGCCAAGTTAGGGGTGGTTGTTACCAGGAAGTTTAACACTCAGTTTTCCTAAAATCATAGAACTGTAGAGTTGAAAGGGTCCACAATGTTCATGTGGCCCAGGGTTTCTGAGCTTTGTTATTTTTAAGATGTGTAGAGTTCAACTCCTAGAATTTTACACTTCTTAAGAGTTGCCAAGTTTGAGAAACACTGATATGGTCTGACCCTCTGCAATAAAGTATGCAGAAAAATGTCCCACCTCTTATAAACTTCCAAAAATAGAGAACCCACAACCTCCGTAGGCACACTGTTCCATATTGTACAAATTTTACTGTCAGAAAGCTGTTCCTTATTTTTAAATAAAGTCTAGTTATCAGCAACTTCTACCTGATTTTTCTTACATTTTTTATTGCCCTGGGAAAAAGTTTCTGACCATCATCCCTATAACCCTAGGAATAGTTCTTACTTTCTGCCAAGAAATAACAGAAAGCTGTGTCCAACACATCTGGGAACATTGGATTGGGGAAGTTTGATTTAAACAGTTTGTAGGCTGCTTAAAAAACTAATAATGGTGGGCTTTACCAACCACAAGCTTTTCTTTACACTAGAAAGCATGGCCTGAAATTTCAGCTTTTGCAGCCCCCGCCCAAGCCTAGAATGAGATCTAAGACCTCCAAAAGTTGTCATGAATTTATAGCTGAAATGGTTCAGTGGGTTTTAATTAAATTAATTAGAAGTACTTAATTCAAGTCTAAATGAAATTAAGCTTAGTTTGTAATTTGGCCTTTCAAGTCAACTGTAGTTCGTGGCCAACAAAATAGTTTATAGTTATGACCTCCAAGACTGTATGAATTGGAAAATATTAGCTCATTTCCTGTTATTTATAAATTTTTCACATTTTGAGCCACCCATCTCCCTCAGAGATGCTCTGTTATTAACTTGGCCTCCAAGGTATGCAGAGCCAACAGAGGTACCAAATGGGTGCTATCCACTTTGTAGATGCTTCAAAAACTCATTTCACCTCCTAAAACATCTAAAATGATGAGAATTTTTACTTAGTGTAACTCAGCTGCTAGACTGCTGCTTTGCTACTGCTATAAATATTGTAAAGTGTGGTAGTTCAGAAGCAAATTGAATTGTGAAGGGATTTCTTTTGTGTGTGGTTTTTATGCAGGGATTCCCTGAGACCTGAACATTTATATTTCAATATTAAAAGGCAGAGAAAGGCTGCCTTAACTACTACTTCATACTAGAAGCTGCAGATTTCTGCCCGACTCTCAGGATTTTTTACCAACACACAAGCTGGACTATCATTCTAAAGTTTTTAAAAAATCATTCAGGCTCAGTTCATCTCTTAATGTATTCCACCTCTAAGGGTAAAATTGATGAAGCATTCCCAAAGTTACAACACATTAGTTTATGCTAACTGGACTCAAGCCATTTTTCATTTATGTTCAAAAAAGGATATGATTTAAATGTACCTGCTCACCACCAGTTAGTTACCAAAAATAGCATCTTCATTTCAGCCAGCAAGACGGATGATATATTCCATGTGGCATTTCTTTTGTCAGGCAATGAAAACAAATCTTTAATTTTCCATGATAAAAATGTGCTACCAAGGCTGAGCTGTGTTCAAAGCTCTATATCCTTTTCTCATCCCTTTCTAGTTATCATTCTTTCTTACTCAACAAGCTTTTAAAAAGGTAACTTGTCTAAAAAAAACCCTGTAAAACCAACTTTTGCTATTTCATGTTGCCTAATCCTTCATAAGAAAATCTTGCAAATATCATAATCTTAACGCAGTTGTAAGGTGCTAGGCTAGAACCATGGAGACACAAGTTCAAATCCACAGTTGGAAAGCTAGCTAATACACAAATGTATTTTGTGCTAATCCTTTTTTATTTGTTTTTCAACAAGTGGCTTATGTTTCAGATTTCATGGCAATCACATACATATTGTTCTCAGCTTCTCAAACATCCCTAAGCAATAAAGAAAATTCAACACACTTTAGGTTTTGCAGGATGAATTATAGAACTTTATCATGCCCAAAATAAAAAAGCAAGATTTGGAATAAAGTGCTCCATGTTCAAAGATTAAAGCTGTCAGGCTTTCCCAACCTAGCATTAGCATGATCAATGTATTGATCCTACAACCTCCAGAATTTCCACCCAACATGACCATTGCAGTTGTATTTCAAAGACAAACAGAGGGTATCAAATTGAGAAAAACTAGATTAGGGCAATTCAGATCCAAGATTAAGGGAGAAATCTTCCTAATTATGATCTTGGCCCTATTCCATTGGTGCACTGTAGATATCAGTCTGGTGCAACCTGTATTTTCTAGCTTACTAATAACAAAAACCAGCTGTGGGTGATGTTCAGAAAGTTTAGGAAGAAGTACACTTCCATGACCACCCAACAAAAATAACAAGCATTTTTTTAATTCAAAGGTGCAACAAAAACAACCACAAAAGGCTTCCCCGAGGGGAAAAAGAAACCGGAATGAGTTATGATTTGGTAACATGGCCGTGCTATAGCAGTTATGCTTGGTTGAAACCGGAAGGTGGAACAGCTGCGATAAGACTATAGAAAAAAGAAAATTAGGGTTACAGCAAAGCAGAATTTATCTGTATTGGGTCCGTCTAATCAAAGAAGAGATGATAACCTCAAGATACAAAGTTTGGCCAAGGGGAAGAATAGAGTGAGATGGAAGAAACTTAACAGTACCTATGAAAACAAATGACTAGTACATCCCATTGTTATAAATATGGCTGTGGAGATGCTACAAAGAAGCAGAATCAATTTCCTGGAGAACTCATATTAACTCTCAATTTTATCACATGGAAAGAGTCTCTGTTTGGAACAGGAGTATGATTTCTATAAGACTTTTATTAGACTGAAATGAAATGAAAGCAGGGAATCAGTACAGAATTATCTAAAGTTTCCATTTTTTTCATTGTCAAAGAATCCTATTGATAATTTGTTGCAATTTTATTCATTGCTCTGTGTTTCCAGAAAAAAAATTGAGACTTTGAGTCAAAGAATCAAGGTGACATGTAAAGCAGGGAAATGGCTTCAGAATTCTGCATTTTTAAATTTCAATATTTAAAATTGTCAATCATTTAATTACTGGCAGCAGAGCACTTTAAAAAGCTGCATCATTCTGCTTCATGTAATAAAATTGTGCTTCAAACCAAATCAGAGATTCTAAAATACATCTAATACTGGCATAACAAGGGAGGAAAAAAATTAAAATAACATTTCTTTCAGAATAAACTGCTATCATTCTGATGCAGTCATACTTCTTTTGTTGCCATTCTGCAAATGATGCCATCCAACAGGGTGCCCATTTTTTCTTCTTGTGGAGTCAACTTGTATACCTGCAAAGATAATAGAATGGTGACTTTCTCAAGAGACAGCATGATTCTACAAAGTTTTTTTTGTTTGTTTACAATGGTTTGAAGCAAGGGGATCATTTACTCAACATCTGGAGACCAGATACCAGTGGCAGGTTTACACTTCAGAGTTGCACTGAAAGGGGTACTGATGCAGTAGCCATGGAGAGGGAAAAAAAGTATCTTAAGAAATCTCTTCTTAAAATGTAGAAGTGCAGAAAGAAGCCAGAAACTCAGTTCAGTGGACTAATATGTTCCACTGAATTTCAGCAGCACAGGAGACATGACAATTCCAAACACACTTACAGCCTACAAGTTGCTTACCCCTAGTTTATAGTCTGTGTTATATAACATTTACATTTTTATTATTACATCAGTCTTCCTCCTTCTGCTACTCTCCAAATACATAGCTGGAAGTTAGGAAAAGGTTTAACTACATTCACATTTAGATTTCCAGGCAACTGAAACTAATCCAGATTGGCGGCGGCGGGGGGGGGGTATGTATGTGGATGATTAAACAAACACTTTTTAATATGGTTGTAATCTTATACATCCATATTTGAGAGAAAATTACCCTACCTGTTACACTACACTGAAACATCAATGTTTTAATTTATTAAAATGCTCTTATTTACTATATCTTCTTACTTAGAGAAGCTGAAACAAACCTTCTTAATTTTCTGTATGTCACTTATTTCAGAGAGATCAGCTATGGAAACTTGCTGGCCGTCTACTTGACTTATTAGATTGTTCAGATTCACAGTTTTCTCTCCGTGTTCAATCAAAACTATGAGTACTGCAGAGTCGGTATCAGAAATGCCAAATTTTTTGAAGGCATCTGTTATCTAATATTAAAGGAGAATATAGGTTTGTATTAGTCATACCTAACAATCTAGACATTATTTCAAAAAAACCTTTCCCATTTAGAAGATCCAATGATCTACTTATTCGTTTATTATTTTCATTTAAATGAAAATAAGGTATTTAATATTTCCTTCTTTCAGCTCAATAATTTTAGTCCGCATTGAAATATTGTTTGTAAACAGTTTAATATCCCTTCACCCATTTTCAAATAAAAAAATGTGTCCAGAGAATTTTATCACGGGGTGAATTCCCTTTGGAGCACTTTGACATTGGAAACCCCAAATGACCCAGAATGCTACTGGGTTTCTATCTGCTTGCTGTGAAAATATAACCTTGATCCCCCACTTTTCTCCTGATATCAGAATACTAATCAAAAATCCTGTCAGCTCAACAAGGTGGACCAGACTAAGAAACCAAAGCTACATAGGTCAGGTCTATTTCTGTTGTAACAGCTATAGCAGTGTTTCTTAACCATGGCAGTTTGAAAATGTCTGGACATCAACTCCCAGAATTCTCCCGCCAGTATGCTGGATCGCATATGAAACATCAGGCAGAAGATTCAAAACACTGTCCTAGAAAATAGTTAAGTGATGGACAATAACCCCAAATCTTTCAATTAATTTTCTTCATGGATAAGCCAATTTATATATAATATTTCTATTTATATATAATATTTCACTGAGAAAAGGTGATTTAAAGCATGGTACAAATTAATGCCTAACTTTGGGGGGGTATGTTATAGCAATAGCACTTAAGACTTATATACTGCTTCATAGTGTTTTACAGTACTCTCTAAGTGGTTTATAGAATCAGCATTATTGCCCCCAATAATCTGGCTCCCCATTTTACCGACCTCAGAAAAGATGGAAGACTTGAGCCAATCAGGATTGAACTCCTAGCTGTGGGCAGAGTCTGCCTGCAATACTGCATTCTAACCACTGGGCCACCACAGTTCTTCTGCTTTGCTTATGCTTTGGTTTCCAGTAAAATGGGGAGCTGAGGTTGGGGGCTAGCAAAAACAAAACAAAACCCAATAGTAGGTGAAGCTTCTTGTATTGGGATTACAGTACTTTTTTTCTCTTCCTTTCTCGCTATAATCCAACATTTCTTTCACTTTTTCTCCTGACAGAACACCAACCCACAAAGTAGAAGAGAAATGATAGCCCAAAGAATAGAGTTAGTATGTCCACAGAGCTTGAAACTGTATGAAATAAAGCAGAGGGTCTGCAATATCTCAGCCCCAGTTATAAATGACTCACATTATTATTCGGTGAAAGGTTGAATATGATTTCAGCATTAAGCGTTCTTGTCTTCATTTTGCCACTTTTGTAGAGATGAACAGCTTTATTTGCTGCTACTAGTATCTGAAAAGGATCAACAACCTGCCAGAGAAAACATAATGAAGTTTTCAACTGCTGTATCAGTTCCAGAACAAAAACTTTAGGAAAGCAAATCCCTTTACTTACAGATATGGAATGGAATAGTACTGTAATGGAAGAGTACATTTAGGCTAACTCTGTATTTATATTAAAATTTAAACCATATATCACATTTTTACCCATGGAAAAATAAGACACCCATCAGTTGTCTTAATATTTATAATTTAGCTTTCAGGGGAATAAATAATGCTATTCTGTTTAAAAGAACTTCAATAAAACACTTCTCACAGAAATAGGGTCAGGAAGGGGGGGGGAAATCACTAGAAATCATGTTTCAGATGTTCGGGCAGGCATTTTAAAATTCAAGTGAAAATTATTTATCTTGTTAAAAGTTTCTATTCACTGATTTTTTTTTACAGACAGAATGTGAACTAATTAATTTTAAACATGCTACTGAATATGTACAATGGAGACGAGTTGCTTACCATTGAAGGATTAATTAATGCTCCATCAATAGCACCTTCCATTGCTTTCTTCCGCAGAGTAGCAGCATTTTTCACACCATTAAATAGGATAAGAGTCACAAGACAGTCAGGAAATAATTCTAACCGATGTCTTAAGCACTGCATCTTGTACCAGAACAGTAAGCTCTTTCAAACCTAGAACATTTATAAACATTTAAAAGTTATGTTTGGAAATGAAGTTTAAAGATTAATTCTGTGAGATGACTAGAAGGGATCAGATCTATCCTAGATTCCTATGAAGTGTGGCCTAGTGGTCTATCCAATGTTAACATTAAACCAAATTGAGTGGATTTATGTTCCATATTGATTAGGTTTTAAGAAATATGATCTTATACTAATTACTTGTTCTCCAAGAAGCCTTGGCTTTTACACTGGAACAGCTTCAAGAATATTTTTTCTATAGAGAAAAGATTATTCTTGTTATTCTCCTGATTTTTTTATCACTTCCAAGTAAGAAAATATGAGTAGGATTATCAACATTTTTTTTTAAACGTGAACTTGTGGTGAGTTAATCTTCACAACTGCCTGAGTACCCAGAGTTCATTTGTAGTAACCATGTAAAAATTCTTTGCTTCCATGCACATATGGGATACCTCAAAGTTCCTATAAGCACTTTTTCTTCTTCAAGGTCTTTAACACAAAATGACAATAGAGCACACTCAATATTGTAATTAATTACAAGATGCATCTTTATAAAAATAGCTTTTCAAGCCCTTCATTCTGACTTACACGAAGTATGTTCTCATATCACATAGACGAAGTAAGTTAAAAGTGTTATGTGCTCTTTACATTTTCATTTCACAAAAAGTTGATTTAATAATAACATTTGCTAATTTTTGGTTAACTGACTTTTTTTCAGGAGAATAACTATTATATATCTTTCGATATCTATCCCATGGTTTCTTAATTACCCATTGTCCTATCTAAATTTAAGAAAAGAAATCTTCCCTCAAGATTATTTCTAAAATATTAAGTTTAAAGTTTGTTTTGTTGATGAGGAAGGAAGGAAGGAAGGAAGTTCTAAAATTAGGTGAGAGTTAGGGTTATGGTTAATAAGAAGAGTTATTTTTTTTTTCAAAAATAAGTCAGTAAAAAAGAAAACTAAATTTAACAGGAATAGAGAAAAAATTAACCTTCTCTAAAATAATTTTTATTAATAATTTTAATAACAAGAGATAACGTTTGGAATTCAAACTGATAGACACCCCAAACTCAGCAAAAAAAGCAGAAGAGAAGGAACTGGAGAAGATAACAAAATACAAAGACCTGTAAATCGTAGAACTGAAGCAAAAGGAGCACCACCGATTTTGACAAAATAATCATCAGTGAAGTAAAGGCAGCTTTACATGGGATAGTAAATATTTTTCAACCATACTTTTATCATCAAACAATAATACCTGCCTATCCCAGGTCCTTGGGAAGAACTTGATAGATGGATAAAATGCCAAATGCAGTGTAAAGATCTGGCTGACTGTGCAACCAACCATAATATAAGATAGTCAACTTACGACCACAACTGAGCCCAAAATTTATGTTGAGACATTGAGTTTTGCCCCATTTTATGACTTTTCTAGCCATAGTTGTTAAATGAACCATTGCAGTTGTGAAGTTAGCAACACAGTTGTTAAGTGAATCTGGCATCCCCACTGACTTTACTTGTCAGAAGATTGCAAAAGCTGTTCACATGATCCCAAATATGAATAAATTTCCAAGCATTCAAATTTTGATCACATGACCATGGTCAGGGGTAGGCAACCTTGGCTCTTTTATGACTTGTGGACTTCAACTCCCAGAATTCCTGAACCAGCGTTGCTCAGGAGTTGAAGTCCACAAGTCATAAAAGAGCCAAGGTTGCCTACCCCCTGACCACGGGGAATAGTGTGAATAGTGTCAGAAGTGTGAAAAATGGTCATGAGTCATCATGATGATAGATGACATCAATTTGGGGAGAACTGCTAACATTTTGGAAGATACACTCAGGATTCAGAAAAATCTTGACAGAGATGCAGTTCAATGGTGAGAAAAGTAGGAACCTGTACTTAGTTAAAAAAAACAAAAACAAATGCATAGGTGTACAACAGCTTGTCTTCAGGAGTTGTGGGTGCTCCATTGCTGGAGGTTTCAAGAATAATCTGGACAACAATTTGTCCGGGATGGTATAAGTTTCTTGCCTTGGACTAAGTTAGTTTAGGAATGAGATATAAATAAGAGTAAGAGTAATGTAATAAATCAGGGATGTCAAACTGGATGCGTCACACATAGGCCACGCCCATCCTGTCAAATCACTGTCAAATCAACCTTTATTGTCAAAGTACAACACATGTACAATGAGATTGGCTAAGCCTCCCTTCGTGCACCCCCCCGACACAACTCACAGTGACAACAAACACACAATCTTATTGCACCATGTGAACTTATTGCACAACACGCAAGTCTATCATACATGGAGTTATTTCTCATTCAGGAGTCTGACAGCCCATGGGTAAAAACTGTTCTTCAGCCTGTTGGTGCGGCTGGCTATGCTTCTATTTCTCCTACCCGATGGTAGGAGAGTAAAGAAGCGCTGACCAAGGTGTGATTTGTCCCTGAGGATTTTCCTGGCTCCTGAAAAGCAAAAAATGTCACGATACATCACAATATGACACGGGACTCTATTGAGTTTGACACCCGTGTAATAAATAATTAAAATACTGCATTTATATAATTTATCATTTTTATTTATTTGATTTTTATCCCACCAACTCAAGTTGGAGAACCTAAATTATATGTCTAGTTTAATGAAGAGAAGGACGATGGGGGACATGATAGCAGTGTTCCAATATCTCAGGGGCTGCCATAAAGAAGAGGGAGTCAAGCTATTCTCCAAGGCGCCTGAAGACAGGACAAGAAGCAACGGATGGAAACTAATCAAGGAGAGAAGCAACCTAGAACTAAGGAGAAACTTCCTGACAGTGAGAACAATTAACCAGTGGAACAACCTGCCTCCAGAAGCCGTGAATGCTCCAACACTGGAAGTTTTTAAGAAGAGACTGGACAGCCATTTGTCCGAAATGGTATAGGGTTTCCTGCCTGAGCAGGGGGTTGGACTAGATGACCTTCAAGGTACCTTCCAACTTTACTATTATTATTATTATTATTATACTCCATTCTCCTATTTTCCCCACAACAACAACAACCCTCTGAGATAGGCCTTCTGAGGTTCCTTCCAGCTCTGTGAGTCTATTAAGGGGCTGGCCTAGTAATCAGAAGACCTTTGAATTCTATTCCCATTTTAGGCATAAAAAGCCAGTTGGGTGATTTCTGGGCCAGTCATTCTCTCTCAGCCCAGCCTACCTCAGAGGGTTGTTGTTGTTGTGGGGAAAATAGGAGGACGGAGAATAATTTAGGTTCTCCACTTTTGAGTTGGTGAGATAAAAATCAAATCAATAAATAAAATATATAAAATATATAAAGGCAGTTATTTTAATTATTTACTGAATAATTCTTATTTGAACTTCACTCCTTCTAATCTAAGCTAATCGACATGAGCACCGTCTGGATTTGGTGCTTGAGGTGGAAATAAATGAAACTTTGATTTTGGGTTTTACTGATTAGATTGATTTGTTGTTACAGAAATGGCTAGTTTATACTATTATGGAAAAAGTCAAAAGTTCAGGTCCGATGTTAATGCTTTATTCTACCGCAACAGAGGAAATCTGTTTTCTTTTCTTTTCCCCTTCTCCCCCTCACTTCTTTCCCTTTTCTCTCCCCACTGGGTCCTACTATTCGCTTTTATATTTTTGTACTTTATTCTATAATCTAATAAAATGTTACAAACCGGGACATGGGCGGGAATAACGCTTGCACTCAGCCCTCCCTTCTTTTAACCCGTTTGGTCTTTGTTTAAAAAAGGCCAAGGTATGCATTGGATCCTTTCTCAAGAGCATTTTTATACCATTTTTCCTACGGTGCTCTCCAGGCAACATTACAACCCCCCCCATCATAGTTTATTAACAAGAAACACGCAGAAAAAGAGCAGAAGTTCATTCCTAAGAAGGGGAAGAAGAGGAGAATTTTGCACGAGGGGTGCAAAGTAAGCCCCCCTCCAGCCCCGTTTTCCTATCCCGGACTGAACGGGGGGGGGGGGCAAGCCGGGCGAGGCCCACAAACCTGCATGCGGGTCAAGAAGAGCGGCCCGCCGAGGCTCCTCCTTCCCTCCAGCCGACTAGTTTCCCGCCGGGAAGGCCTCTCCGCCGCAGAGGCCCGCCTCGGCCTCCCCTCGTTCCCCGAAGCCCGTCCCCGGTAGCGCCGCCCGTCCGCCCGCTCTCCCATCCACCTCTCCGAGGCCCCCGCAGCGCTTGGGCCAAACCGGACGGGAGCCGCGCCATGGAGCGCTCCGAGGTCTCCTGCTTCTCGGCGGCCTTTAGCTGCACCTTCCTCGCCTCCTGCCTGCTCTTCTCGGCGTTCAACCGGCAACAGCGGGCGGCCTACATGGACGAGGCCTTCCACGTTCCGCAGGCGCAAGCTTATTGCGCGGGTCGGTTCCAGCAGGTAGGCAGGCGAGCGAGCGAGCGAGCGGATCCCCGAGTCCGGCGCCGCTCCGAACTGCGGAGGCAAAAGGGGGTTTGCAGGCTCCAAAGGCAGCCTAAGGTGGCTTTTTGGGATTGCTTTCTTTATTAATATCCTGCAAAATAGACACACACCCCCCTTTTCCCCCTATCATTTCTCTATCCTGCTTACACGATGCACTGCACAGGACCAGCCTCTTGCCTTCAGATTCTTTTGGACGACAACTCCCATCCTCCCCCACCCTTGCCTTTGCTGGAAGGGGCTAATGGAAGTTGAGGTTCTTCAAATCTGAAGGGCGCGTTTTGGAGCAAGGAGAGCACAATCTCCTCCCGTTTCTAACAGACCAGGGTTGCCCAAAGCGGTCAATATCGACCCGCCTATCCACTATTGTTGTTATTATTTTTAGTTGTTGTTGTTGTTAATTGCGAAGTCGTGTCCGACCCATCGCGACCCCATGGACAACGTTCCTCCATGTCTTCCTGTCCTCTACCATCTTCTGGAGTCCATTTAAGTTCACTCCTACTGCTTCAGTGACTCCATCCAGCCACCTCATTGTGTTAATATAATAAGTGTTTGGAGAATTTGGGGAAATAACAAGGAACTGAAATATTTTCTTGTTTTATTTTCTCTTCATAGAAATTGTACTTTGCTTTAAACAAACAATTCTAAGTAAGAACTAGGAGATGCTCTATTTTTTTTTTTGCTTTGGAGTTAGTCTTAACTCCTGACAACTGCCTGGACAAATTCCTACACTGTAGTTTTCCTGGCAATATTTCAGAAGTGGTTTGTCATTGCCTGCTTCCTAGGGCTGAGAGAGAGCGACTGGCCCAAGTTCAGCCAGTTGGCTTTGAACCAAAGGCAGGAGAAGAACTAGTCTTCCCCTGGTTTTAATTCAGTGCTTCTGACCATTATACCAAATTTGTTTTCTGTTTCATTCTAGTACTTCTGTTTTATATGTGTATGTTTTTATATGCAAATAAAAGGAACTAGACGGACAAAAATATCTGAATTACTCAGCACAATTTTTAAACACATTAAAAATATTGATCATACAGATTACTGTTAGTATTTTTTTTTTCATTATGGGAATCATATTTTGAACAGAAGTCCAGTTGAAAAGCAAAGAGTGAAAATATGTCATCAGTATAAAAATTTACAATAGCATTGTCTTTCCACTATAAAAGAATAACATGGGTTCGCTCTGTCCCATTTTGATAGATCCTTGGTTCTTCATATAGTGATAAAGACTACATTATTGCTACATAATTCAAAGGAAGGAAGGTTTCTGATTCTTCCTTCCAACTTCTCACACATAAATTCAGTGGACAAGCTGGCAGGAAGTCAGAAGCGTTCCTGCTCCCACTGCATTTTTGCCCACCTGTGGTCATTCTGAATCTCTGTTTAGGTAAGGAAATTAAATGAAGACCCAACAGGGTATGGGTGGTCTAGTACAGTACAAATTCCCCTTGCAGTGATTCAAATGATTTAAAAATTTGTTAGTTAGGCGATCTTAGTAAATATTCCTATTAGCTCTTGAATCCCCCCCCCCCCCACTACGAATTAACTGCAGTATTCAGCCTGGGCTTATCCCATTGTGGAAGTTTATTATGTGAATAAGTCAAACATACTGTGTGCGCTTCCATCCTAAAATCTTTCAAATATGCTTTGCAGCCTGTAATCGTGGAAATATAGTGTCTTGAGAAAGGAACCCTTTGCATTTATCGTTTATTTCACTAATCCTATGAACAATCCCAGTAGGTATAATGTGACGTCTTATTTGAATGTTCTCAATCTTCTAGATTCCATTCTGATAGGATTGATTAAATAAACCTATGCAATTTTAACTTTAGGTGCCCTGCTTTTCTATTTGTACACCTAGTCCACCGAAGAGTTTTGATGAACCTGAGAAGTTGCACACTGTTTCTGAATTAGAATAAACCCAATAATGTAATTTTATTTATTTAATAGTTTGATTTTAGCCTATCATTAGATTGAGCAAACTGAAGTAAAACATTGAGAGTACATTCAATGAAAAGCCACAGGTCAAAAAGTAAAAACTGAAAACACCAAGTAGCATCAAGAGATATAAATTCTAACCCAAAAAAATAAACGAAAAATAAATAACTTGTGCTTGAATATAAAAATCCTCTTGAATAGTCCTTTTTAAAATACTTCCCTAAAGCTAATATAGCAGGGGCTTTTCAAACTTCAGAGGAAAGAGAGTTCCAAAGAGAACTGTCAGAGAAACAGTGTTTACAGGCCTCCATCTCACTTATTTCAGAAAAGCAGGGAATGACAGTTACAGGTAGTCCTCGACTTACAACAGTTCATTTAGTGACCATTACAACCGCATTGAAAAAAAGCGACTTATGACCATTTTTCACACGACCGTTGCAGCTTCCCCATGGTCATGCGATGGTCAAAATTCAGATGCTTGACAACTGACTCCTATTTATGGTGGTTGCAGTGCCCTGGGATCATGTGATCACCTTTTGCGATCACCTTTTACGATCGAAGTCAATGGGGAAGCCAGATTCACTTAACAACCGTGCTAGTAACTTCACACAACTTCAATGATTCACGCTAACAATTGTGGCAAGAAAGGTTGTAAAATGGGGTAAAAAACTCAGTTAACAAATGTCTCCCTTAGCAACAGAAATCTTGAGCTCAATTGTGGTCGTAAGTCGAGGATTGCCTGTATTTGTCCTAATAAGGTTTACTAAATGTTGTCACCCGTATAGTTAAAGGTATTGGATCACAGTACCATATTAATTTTCTGCTCAGAAGAAGCCCACTCACTGCCTAAATGTGCTATTATGTTTTACTGTACCCTTATTGTTAATGGTTCTCCTAAATGGTTTTTCAAAATGATTATTTCCAGTTGAGCGAAGTAGAGAAAGAGATATGCCAATGGTGGCGAACCTATGGCACGCGTGCCAGAGGCGGCACTCGGAGCCCTCTCTTTGGGCACACGCACCGTCACCCCAGCCCCGCCTCCTCCCACGGCCCCCTCCTCACCAGCAGCCCCCCGGAGAGTCGCCCCCAGGCACGGCCCACGCGAAGCAGTGCAGCCAAGGACATGGTAGCCAGGCAGCGGGGACAAGACTCCACCCTTGCGCCCCATCGCGCGCAGATGATGGTGCAGGGCACAGGCGGAGGGTGTGGCCGCCATGGCGCTGCTGGGCTGCCCAGGTGATCTGTGGCAGGCCGTGGAGGTGGTGGGTGGCCCAGCGGGCACGGCAGAACGGGGACGGGTGGGGGGGCAGTTTTGGGGCACTTGGTCTCTAAAAGGTTTGCCATCACTGAGATATGCTCTTCCCCTTACAGTTTCACTTTTTTTAAAAAAAATCTAAATTGCTTGGTTGTTGTTATTCAACATTCATGATCCTCCTGAGTAGGAGCAACACTCAGCCTCAATACTTCTAACATTAGATTTGGCTACTTTGGAACACATACAAAGGAGATACACAATTTATTCTTATATAGGAATGCCTAGTTAAATTTTAATTTAATTTAATTTAATTTGCATTCTCCTTTTCCAGTTATAGGTGGGGGTTTCTTTGGTTATGCCAAATTTTTTAATATATTTTTATTTTCTTTTTCCAATAGTGGGATCCAATGATCACCACTTTGCCTGGTTTGTACTTGCTGTCAGTTGGAATTCTGAAGCCCACAGCCTGGCTGTTCGGGTGGTCCGAAAGCCTCTTCTGCTCTACAGGGATCCTCCGATTCATTAATCTGCTTTTCAGCACTGGAAACTTCTATTTATTATATTTGCTCTTCTGCAGGATACACCCTAAAAAGGTAGGCGCTGAATATTGTACGAGGGCAATTCGGAAATAAACCTCCGTTTGGTTATCAATGTTGTAGTTTTCTGATGTATATAATAAAAGTTCTGTATCTGGGAGTGTCTGTCATTGACAGCCAAACGGAGGTTTATTTCCGAATTGTCCTCGTATTCAAAATAGTTTCACTCTACACAATAGCTTTTAAAATATTTAAAACAGTTTCACGCTACGTGAAGCAAGACTAATATTTGACAAAATTCTGAAGTCTTCTGTTTCTTTCTGCACACCTGCCAAATACTTGTTCTTAATGTTATGCCTGCAACTATCTGTTGTTCACAGCTCTATTTTACAGGTAGTCCTCAACTCACGGCCACAGTCAAGCCGAAAATTTATGTTGCTAAGTGAGAAATTTGTTCAGTGAGTTTTGCCC